GAAATTGCACCAAGACCCCAGTGTTGAAGCCTTTGAACTGGCTCAGTGCAGTTTCTTAGAGGAATCTGAAACCAGGAGAAAAGGTGAAGAAAGAGGGGCAGAATGGACAAAGATATGGTTGAGATGGAGGAGAGGCATTCAAGGAGGCGAAGGAAAAAGAGGAATAGGCCCAGTTGGACAAAACAAGAGAGCTGGAGGGAGCGGGGGGGGAACACAAGCGCAGTTCTTACACAGCCAGGGATGCAAGACAGGGCACCAAAGTCTCAATGTCCCTCAGTGGTCAGTGCATACCTGTGAGACCCACTGGTTTAGCGTGCCAGCATCCTCCAAGGCTACTCTACTCAGAGGTCAAAAGCCTGCAGGTGGTCTTGGCTAGCCCATTTCAGGGTATCTGCAGTACATATCAGAGTGAGAAGAGTGAAGTGTCCAGGGGACCGTTCTGCAGAAAGTAAATTTCCTCCTGCTGCAGATGATGACTGCTTTCCTTGTGAAAGGGGCTTTGTTGTCTCAGTCTCTCCACTTGGCACCCAGCTCTCATGGCACTTTCAGTTCCTCTACTCGTTTGACCTCGGAGCTACTATGCTGTGAACATGTCAGGAGGGAACATGCAATCAATACTGGCCAACCTACTAACAGACCAAGCTATTATTACAGCAGGCAATGATGTGAGCAGCCACAAAAAGGAAAACAGATTTTTGGGCTCCTCATATGTCCGGAGCTATCTGCACATCCTGTCCTGGGTTAACTGAAAACATGTGGTCAAGTGCTGTCAGGCTGGCTTGCAGCTACAGCATCAGCTAGCTCTCAAAGTGTCTCAATTCTCTATTTCCTTACTGCCTTTCTGGGATAAGCCCAGTAAAATCTAGCTAGCTCAGGAAATGGTGGGACACCAATATGCCTAAAAGTACGTCTTTATGCCACTGATGCTACCGCTCCTTCTGCGGAGCTTTCCTGTTTTGGCTGCTTCCTCTCTCTGGCTCTCCCACTGCAGCATGGGGGTTACCAGTCGCCACAGGACACTCATCCTTGCTTTTCTGAGTTGTTCCTACACCCCGAAAGTATATATTGCATGTGTAATATATATATTGTAAAGCTGAGACTGTGCTAAAATTAGAGTCACTTTGTTCCTATGTCACATGGACGCAAGCCTGCCATCTCATACAGGCCTGACCCACCACGATGGGAATGTTTGGGAACCTTTGAGCCTGAGGCATCCTCTTGCAAGTAGCCTCAGTGCCTGTGGATGTTCAGTGTGGGTGGTTCAGCCCAGCCTGGCCCCTCAGCTGTACCATTAGCTACTGTGGTGAGGGACATGACTGACACGAGGCAGCCATGATAGCCTGGGCTCCTCCTAGAAGGGCCTCAGTATCTCCCACACTGGGTACATGCAGGATCTGTAAGCTGCCCATGTGCAGCCATGTGGATAGATCAGCAAGAGGCCTAGGCTATGCCCTGATGCCGGCAGCTCAGTAGCCCCACCAGGACATCCCCAGCAAAGACGTGAGGTTCAAATGACTACCAAGGCCTCATACCACCTCCTGGGGGAGGAATGAGGATTCTGCCTCTGGCCTCCATGGAAGCAGGATCGGACTTTATCCAGATCATTCATTATCAACCTAAGACATCTGAGAAAAAAAAATACAGTTAAACTACTTTTATTTAATAACACAGAGTGCACTTTATAAGAAATTGGAGTGCTATACCTTGTTGGAGCCACTAGCCCACCTCAAACCTTGGCAGGAGTGGACACTGCCCTACAGAAGGGTGGGATGGGGCAGGCATACAGTAGCCTTCACCAGAAAACCGTCCCACCTCACACTTTCCATGACCAGAGGTGACATTCGTTCATGCAGTGTTTCTTGGGGGATATTTTTCTTTCTTTCTTTTCACGTTTGTACCTGTAAATATTTAGCAGCCACAGCGTCCTGTGGCACGGGGTTCCTCAGTGCAACGCTGTGCTCCGTGGAGAGCTGCCTCTGGTTATTTGCTTTGAACCTGCGATCTGCTAGCTCTATTTGATGTCCCTGAAGTTCTTGTCTGAGGAGGAACAGTGTACAATCACTGCCCATTTTGTAACGAAGGAGCTTTGTTCTGAATCACTGTTGTCCAGGTGCCTGCTTCTTTTTAATTCAACGGTGAAATCTCCCAAATACTTCAAGGACATAGGTCAGGCATTTGTAATTTTTTCTTCACTTTTCTTAAACATTACTGGCATGACATGTTGCAAGAGTCTGCCAGTTCTTACTACAAACGGTTCAGACTGCAGAAATAGTAAAGAAATGCTTCTCCCCACAAATGCTTTCACATATATAACCTACATACCTAACATCCTCCATGTGTCACTAGCTGTACACACCTGCAAACGCACCTCAACACACAGCCTCATTCACACCTCTCACCTGGGTGAGAACCCTGGCCTTAGTAGCACTTCTGATTTTGCCTGTTTTCATCGCCTATCTGGGAGGTAGACAGATAGTTAAACACTCAGCACTCAGTTGGAAACAGGGTGATAGCTATGTTTTCTAAGCATCATCATGTTTTCTAGCATGCAGATGGTGAGCGTCCTGTAGATGGGCTTCGCATCCAGCCTCTTCAAAGCCCCAGGTAGGCACAGGGCATCCTACTTGTCAGTGACTGCAGGAGTATGGAGATTTCCACACAGTCAAATAAAATATATATACATATGTGTGTGTGTGTGTGTGTGTGTACACATATACATACATGAAATATGAACATGAACATGTTTGGACAGTGCAAGAAGAACTGTACTCTGACCTAGAAAGGCATTGCTTGAGGTTCAGAGTACCCATATAAGCACCTATTTTGCCATTTCTCTGGACTGAGTTCTCCTCTCTCATTTTTTACATGGTAACAGTATTAACCCAATTAATTTACTGTAACTGAAGAACAGTATTAATCTAAAGAGGCCCACCTAAATCACAGAGAAGCCATGGCCAAGTTCTTCAAACAACCACCTGTCCCCATTCACTTTCCTGCAGATGATTAACCCAGATGAGTTCAGAGCTTCTGAGCTGCACCTTGGCACAACAGTCCCGCTTTCTTTGCAGGGTTCATTTTCTGTTCTGAAGGGAAACACCTGCATGTCTCCAGTGAGACTGACTGTGAACAGAGAAAGATCTCCACTTAGAAGTTACAGACTCCCCCTCCAGCCAAGCTGTAACCCAAACCTGGTGGGAGGACTCACCCTGGAGCCAGGAGCTCGGGCAACTTAGGGGTCCTGAAAGACCTGCGCCAAGCTGACCACGCTTACGCTGCTGTGCTCGCACCCCAGCCCATGCCAGGCATGGAGGGAGTGTTTGCATAAGGTATTTTGGAAGCCACAGAGGCAAAAAGCACTATACGAATGTACGCTAGAGGAAGCAAAGGGGCGCGGTGGCTAGAGCAACGAGTAGCCTTCAGAAGACCACAGCTCTGGTTTCACTGGTTTCCTGAAGACTTTGGCAAATTGTTTCCCCATGCATCCAAATGGGGCTGATGTCCTTAACCTCCTCTGTAGGGTTCACTGGTAACTAGAGTTGAAGACTCTAGATATTGTGTATACCACTAGCCTATTTTCTTCTAGCTTCAGAGTTGTCACTATCAAAGCTCACCATCATGTTTTACCCTAAGAACTGCCACGTTTTATAGTTAACTCAGAGGCTCAGCTTGCAAGGAGAGATGATGGGACATAAATCTAATTTAACCCAAGCACATGCCAGGAGCCTAGACTAAGCTTCAGGAGCATTAAAAATAGCCCTTTGCCCCATGAGCTCACTCAGGTCAACTAGCCTGACTGCATACTGCAGAGCTTTATGCCAGCTTTCTGCTGTTATGACTGTGGTACTCTGGCTTCAGCAGGACAGGTGTCTATATACACAATGTGGTTGATGAAAGGTCAACACATCCTGTCCTCTATATGCATATACTTACAAGCACATTTGATCTGACAGAAGTCTACAGATGATCAGTGTTGCAGGCCACAGTGGCCACCGTGTTTTTCAACCATGTCTAGGGCCCCAAACCTGGATGTACTGAGTAATCAGGCTGTTTTGGAAGAAACATCACTGAGAAAGGCAATTCTACAAGGGAGATAAGAGTGCAGAGAGCTTGCTGGCAGCCAGCAAGTGCACCTTACAACCCTTGGAAAGTGGGCCAAAGCCAATTAACAACAAGCTGCAGCTGACAGGAAGGGGAGCATTTCAAGATGAGGGGGATGACAAGAAGCCCAGGGGACACAGGAACTTGGGGGGAAGAGCAGAAAAGGCCTCATGTGAACGAGCTTAAGTGGGACTACAAGGGAATTAAAGCTAATATTTCTAGGGAGCTTTAGAAAAGGGGCCAGATCTTTAGGTAATAGTCTTTTGAGATGCTGGTTAAGATAAAAAGCTGGGAATATGAGGAAGAGATAGATTAGCCTAGGCAGAGAGCGAGGAGAGGGGAATGCAGACTATAAGTACCTGACATGGGGTTTTTAGAGCAAGATCCAGAGGAAAGGGTGAACTAATGGCCACTAAGGAGAGCAGCACGAGGGCTCTGGTCCTAAGGAAAAGGACTGCAGAGAAACTGGCAAAAGAGGTGTAAGACTCATGAAGACTAAAATTGCGAACCAAAGACCAGCTGTCTACACACCTGCCCTTTTGTTTGGGGAACTGAGACCTCCAGCAGGTCATATTCAACCTCCATGCAATAGG